ACCCCCACACTGACCCCCACACTGACCTCCACTCTGACTCCCACACTGACCCCCACACTGACTCCCACTCTGACCCCCACTCTGACTCCCACACTGAGCCCCACACTGACACACTAAACCTCAAACCCCTAAACCCTGAACCAAAAACTCTAAACTCTTAACTCTGAACTCTAAACTCTAAATACTAAACTCTGACTGTAAATAACAATAAACACCTGTAAACACCCAAACGTCAGTGTAAACACCTGTAAACACCCATACGTAAGTGTAAACACCTATAAACACCCATACGTCAGTGTAAACACCTGTAAACACCCATACGTAAGTGTAAACACCTGTACACACCCATACGTAAGTGTAAACACCTGTAAACACCCATACGAAGTGTAAACACCTATAAACACCCATACGTAAGTGTAAAGACCTGTAAACACCCAAACGTAAGTGTAAACACCTGTACACACCCATACGTAAGTGTAAACACCTGTAAACACCCATACGAAGTGTAAACACCTGTAAACACCCATACGAAGTGTAAACACCTGTAAACACCCATACGAAGTGTAAACACCTATAAACACCCATACGTAAGTGTAAAGACCTGTAAACACCCATACGTAAGTGTAAACACCTGTAAACACCCAAACGTAAGTGTAAACACCTGTAAGTACCTGTGAAGGCGTGTAAAGCAGCACAGAGTGTGAAGCTGATCACAGATCTGTGTTAATAACAGTCACGGCTGAACGTTACAGCTCTGAGTGTGTGAGTGTGTTTGAACAGCACGCTGTAGAAATGGTCATTTCCCAGCGTGCATTTCTATCAGCCCATCTGCTCTTCAGCAGGCAGGAGACCATCTGCACACACACACACACACACACACACACACTCACACACACACACACACACACTTACACACACACACACACACGCACTCACACACACACACACACACTCACACACACACACACTCACACACACACACACACACACACACACACACACACTCACACACACACACACTCACACACACACACACACTCGCGCAGAGTTCAGGCTCTATGCAGAGTTACTGCAGAGACACATTTAGAACATCATCACTGTTTAATATTCACTTTAATATTCACTCTGTTTTACAGTCATCAGTCACTGAGCTGTTCAGGTGTCACAGCAGGAAAAATATCCAGCACAGTGTATGGCTGCTGTACAGATAAGCTGCTGTAGGCTGAATGGGAGGGGCTTAACTGCAGTAGTCTGACTGGGTGGGGCTAAACTGCTGTAGGCTGACTGGGTGGGGCTAGACTGCTGTAGGCTGAATGGGTGGGGCTAAACTTCTGTAGACTGCCTGGGTGGGGCTAGACTGGGTGGGGCTAAACTGCTGTAGGCTGACTGGGTGGAGCATTAGTTTCCATATATGACCTGTATGCACTGGAGAAATGAGCTTTTGCACTGTTTATATTTATCTTCTCTTTAATTTAAAATCAGAGGGAAGTGAGGTCAGGTACAGCTGCAGGCTGAGGGTGGAGCTCTAATGTACACAGTTAAAACACAGATAAAAGAAATCCTATTTATATAGACTATAAAACTATTTAAAACAACTGGAGAACACAGACAACACACAGCTAAAGTGCACACGTTAGAGCAGTAAAGCTCTGTAGTTTATAGCTGTAAATGCTGTAGATGCCGTGAGGCGAGGCAGAGCCGGAGTGGGGGTGGGAGAGTGGGGAGAATCCTGGTGGGCCGGTAGAGTTGAGCAGGTTACTGTGAGCTAATAAACTCACACATGTAAGCAGACGAGCACTGAGACACTCAGACAAACTGTAAAGTGTGTTGATCTGTGGTGATTTAGGAGTTAAACCTGCTTTCAGGAGGATCAGCTCCGCTTCACGGACTGGAGCTCAGACAGTGGTGATTAGATGAAGATGACGTCGGCTTGTGGTTTTCATGGCCCGTTCCACCTTAAATGATGTAGCAGTTTCATTCAGACGACTGTACGGGTGATGGTGTGTAACTGCTGCACTAGTTAAGGTGGAGCAGAAATTTGAAGAAGCTGCCAGGATTGTGTCTGTGTGAAGAAACAGAAGGCAGCTCACAGATCAGGATGTCTGCTGATTTTGAGCGGGTGGTGCGGTGGGACGGTCCTCACCAACCAAAAACGTTTGTTGATGAAAAAATTTGTAACTACCTTTAGTTTGATATCAGGTGGTCATAGGGAATTTCATTAAAACTCATATTAGGAAAAGGTTAACTGCTATGTTGTTGGCCAGTGTGATGTACTGTGTTGCCGTGGTTACAGAAAACATTCTGGTTGGTGTAACAGGGAATTTATCAGTTCTATGTAGGACTTTCTTCGTTGTTAGACTGAAAATTCCCTGCAATGAACGAGGACCGTCTGAGCGCACCCTGACGACTGAGCTCTAGTGGGCGTGTCCCTGCCGCATCACACCATGATTGGCGTGCCTGAGCTAATGGAGCTCCGCCTCTTCCTGTCCTCCTTTTCGTGTCTCTGCCCTTCTTTCATGTCCTCCTCCTGTATCTCACTCCTGATGTCACCATTCTGTTCTTTGGGCTGGTAGAAGTCCATGTGCGTCGCCCCCTGCTGGCAGAGTGTCTTAGTGACGCTCAGACTGGAGGAGTGGACGCTGTCTGTGAGGGTAGACTTGGCCAGGTGGTTGCCGTGGCTGCAGGGACAGGGTGTGAGGTAGAGGTAGATCACCACAAGAACGATGCTGAGCACGCAGCAGGCCAGCGTGGTGTAGGCCGTGTTCAGGCTTTCTCCAAAACCCTGCGTGGAGTTGTGGACCCTCACCAACACCACCACCGTCTCGTTCACACCATCACCCTCCACCACGCACCTGTACTCTCCCGAATCCTCCGCCTGCAGTGGCCCCACCTGAAGCCGTCCGTCCCCAAGTGGCTGCACAGTGCTGCGGTTGGCCAGCGGGGGCACCGTCCAGCTCTTTGTTGCATCCCTGTAGCGCGAATCACAGTCCAGGACCAGGATCTGGTTTAGAAAAGCCTCCTCGTCTCGAACTCGGACTGCACTGCAGTTCAACTGCAGGATACTGGCTTGGGCTCCACCCACTGGCTGCACGCATAAATGGCTTTCTGGGAATTCTGAGACTGGGCGGAGCTCTCGCTGCAGCCAGCCAATCAGGACACTGTACAGATCGCAGCTGCAGTCCAGCGGGTTGCCGTGGAAATAGACGCTGTCCTTCAGCCAGGTGGGAAGCGCTTGCAGCTCTGCTAGGGGCAGAGCTCTAATCCGATTCAATGACACGTCCAGTAGGCGGAGCTTGTCCAGGCGGTTCCGGTCCTTGAGCAGCTCCAGAGGGAAGCGGCTGACCCGGTTCTGGCTCAGGTAAAGCTTCTGCAGGCCCAGCAGCCCGGAGAATGCGGTCCGGTCAATCTGACCGATCTGATTGTTGTAGAGCATCAGGACCTCCAGGTGCGGCAGTGGCTCAAAGACGAACTCGTCCAGGTGTGTTAAAGCGTTCGAGGACAGGTCCAGGTGCCTCAGTCGTCGCACCTGTACGAACGCCTCCGGGGACAGGAAGTGCAGGCCATTGTTGCCCAGCAGGAGTGTGTGCAGGGCGCTGAGTCGCACGGCGGTCCAGTCTGAGCGCAGCCGGCCGATGCAGTTGAAGCTGAGGTCCAGCAGGGCGGTGTAGCGAGGCAGCGGCGCAGGAGGGCTGGACAGATTCCTCTGGGGGCAGCTGATGATGTCACTGGCACAGACGCAGGGGCTATGGCAGACAGAGGCTGCTGACAGACGAACAGAAAGCAAGAGGAGGAGCATCACTCTCACGCACACTCTACAGCATCCAGTAAGGGGCGACACATGAGGCGGCTGTCGCATTTCTCCAGCACTGACCACAAACTTACACATCTGAAAGAAAAAACAGCAGAAGAACAGGAATGTTAAATTAATAATCAATTTATTGACTGTTATTTGATTAACTGACTAATCCAGTTATTCTTCTTCAGTTCGTCTCACTTTGACATTGTTTAATATTACTTACCTTTTAATACAGCAGTGAAACAGTAGAAGCCACATCGCCCCCTACACTTCCTGTAGTGTATTACAGTCTGTCAGAGTGACTGTGTGGATCATATGAACATTCTAGAGGCTTTTTAAGTGAAACAGTAGAAGCCATATCGCCCCCTACACTTCCTGTAGTGTATTACAGTCTGTCAGAGTGACTGTGTGGATCATACGAACATTATAGAGCTTTTTAAATGAAACAGTAGAAGCCATATCGCCCCCTACACTTCCTGTAGTGTATTACAGTCTGTCAGAGTGACTGTGTGGATCATACGAACATTATAGAGGCTTTTTAAATGAAACAGTAGAAGCCATATCGCCCCCTACACTTCCTGTAGTGTATTACAGTCTGTCAGAATGACTGATCGTAGCTGAAGGTCACATACAACAAACCCAACAAACTCTGTCTCTCTCTCTCTCTCTCTCTGTCTTTCTCTCTCAAATTCAAATTCAAATTCAAAGTAGCTTTATTGGCAGGACTGTTTTGAGTACAATGTTTTCAAAGCATATAAAATTCAACTCAAAGCAGAACATATTTTGTAGAACTAACAAAACAAATAGAATTAATAATAGCAATAATGATAATAGTTGTATTGAAATAACAGCAACAATATTAAAATAAATAAAGTAAATAAATAAAGTAAGACAATGAGCTTGTACTTGGTCAGGATCTGTCTCTGCTGTGGTCTCTGAGCCTGTACTTGGTCAGGATCTTTCTCTGCTGTGGTCACTGAGCCTGTACTTGGTCAGGATCTGTCTCTGCTGTGGTCTCTGAGCCTGTACTTGGTCAGGATCTTTCTCTGCTGTGGTCACTGAGCCTGTACTTGGTCAGGATCTGTCTCTGCTGTGGTCTCTGAGCCTGTACTTGGTCAGGATCTGTCTCTGCTGTGGTCTCTGAGCCTGTACTTGGTCAGGATCTTTCTCTGCTGTGGTCACTGAGCCTGTACTTGGTCAGGATTTGTCTCTGCCGTGGTCACTGAGCCTGTACTTGGTCAGGATCTGTCTCTGCTGTGGTCTCTGAGCCTGTACTTGGTCAGGATCTGTCTCTGCTGTGGTCACTGAGCCTGTACTTGGTCAGGATCTGTCTCTGCTGTGGTCACTGAGCCTGTACTTGGTCAGGATCTGTCTCTGCCGTGGTCACTGAGCCTGTACTTGGTCAGGATCTGTCTCTGCTGTGGTCTCTGAGTCTGTACTTGGTCAGGATTTGTCTCTGCTGTGGTCACTGAGCCTGTACTTGGTCAGGATCTGTCTCTGCCGTGGTCACTGAGCTTGTACTTGGTCAGGATCTGTCTCTGCTGTGGTCTCTGAGCCTGTACTTGGTCAGGATCTGTCTCTGCTGTGGTCACTGAGCCTGTACTTGGTCAGGATCTGTCTCTGCTGTGGTCTCTGAGCCTGTACTTGGTCAGGATCTGTCTCTGCTGTGGTCACTGAGCCTGTACTTGGTCAGGATCTGTCTCTGCTGTGGTCTCTGAGTCTGTACTCTGCCAGTCCAGACTCTTTGTTTAGACCCGATAGTTCTGTAATTTAGACTGAGTTCTGGTTTCGCTGTCCCAATGTTCCAGATAGGTGTTTTTACTGTGTCTGATAATTTGGTTTACTCTGATTGGACTTTGGTCAGCAGTGCTGGACTGAGGCTGCTGTGTGTTAGGAGTCAGTGGGTTAGTTAGTCTCAGAACCAGCTGACAGAGGGGACTGGGTTTAGGGCTGAGCTCTTGGGTTTTAAGTGCTTTATATTGTAGTGAATTTGGATTACTGAATTTTAGATGCTGCCTGAATTTTAAAGCTCTTTTCTGAACAGGTATAATCAGTGGAAATCGGCCTAATTCTGCCCTGCATGCATTTGTTGGTGTTTTTCGTTGAACTTTTAATATATTTCTGCAGAATTCTGCATGCAGGGACTCTGTGGGATGCTTGTCCCATCTAGTGTAGTCACGATGACTGAGTGGACCCCATACCTCACTTCCATACAGCGCAATGGGCTCAATTACACTATCAAAAACTTGATGTCTGTTTTGTGGAACTGTCTCCTGATGGCGTAGAGAGTCTCCGCGCTTTCTCTTTTAGTGCATTCACTCCCAGATCAAAGTTTCCCGAGGCACTGATTTTCAGTCGTAGGTAATCATGATGTAACGAGTGCTCTAGGGCAGCATTTCCTAGAGTGAAGAGGTGTCTGTTTTCCTGAGATCTGGCTTTTTTCTGGAAGATTACTATTCTAGTTTTGTCCAGATTGACTGTCAGGGCCCAGTTCTGACAGAACTGCTCCAGCAGCACCAGGTCATCTGCATAGAGCAGGAATTTCACTTCCGTGTGGTTTAGGGTGAGTCCAGGAGCTGCAGACTGTTCCAGTAACACCGCTAACTCGTTTATATAAATGTTGAACAGGGTTGGAGCCCTGTCTCACCCCGCGCCCCTGAGCGTTCTCTGGTCTTTTGTCGCCGAGTTTAATTCCACACTTGTTGTTCAGATAAATGGACTTGATGATGTCATATACTTTACCCCCTACACCGCATTGTAGAGTCTGATAGAATAATCCAGTGTGCCAAATGGAATCAACAGCTTTCTTAAAATCAACGAAACATGCAAATATTTTACTGTTGCTGTTTTGGTGGACGTGTTGGTTGATTGGGGTGTGTAGGGTGTAAATATGATCAGTAGTGTGGTGATTTGGTAAAAAGCCAATCTGACTCTTACTCAAGACACTGTGTTCGGTGAGGAAGGCCTGTATTCGGGCGTTAATAATACAGCAGAAAACCTTCCCCAGGTTGCTGCTCACACAGATGCCTCGGTAGTTGTGACCCCACCTGAATCTCTGCCATGCTTTACATTTGAATGTTTAAATGAAGGTAAGATGGTTTCTCTGTAGCCTGAGGGACAGTAAGTATCCACATCTGACCGACACCACGTTTCTAACAGTATGATTATGTCCTGGTTGTTGATCATTTTAATGAACTCTGCATTTGAGCTTTTAGCTCCTAGGATGGATGAATACAGACCCTGGAAATCACAGGAACTTAATGAGAAAGATCGCATTGTCTATAATTAGTTGGTTAGAGGAGTAAAGTAAGTATAAAGAGATGAAAATGTGATTTAAATGTGTTTAACAAATTGTTGAGAGAAAAAAGTAAATAATAAAAAATAATAAGTCATAATAATAATAATGTAGTATAAAAATGGACGTGATATTAATTCTTGAAGAAGAAGATAAAAAAGATAAGTACAAAGGCATGAAAATGTAATATTAAAATGTGTTTGTGGGATCTGTTTAAACATGTGATTTGAATAATAAATCTTATCTGTAGGTTTGAATTTGAGCAGAATGAGTTTCCGTAAGCTGCAGTAAATCTGAGCTGTTTATCCCAGTATTTTACAGAGGAGGTGAAGCAGCTGTGGCACTTCCCCGATATCTGAGGTGTCTGGGTGTCTTTTACCTTGCACCACCTCTGAGTATGTGAGCTGCT